CACAATATTTTACTTAATACTAGATTTATTTACAGAATGCAACATCATAAATGTGTGCCTGAGCAATCTCCAGTATCATAGAAGTATGTCTATTATTTTTATTCCGCCTGTTCGGACATGTTATTGTACATCTCTGGGACAGGAACGACTTGAACTCAGACCTTCTGACCCAGAAGTAGGGACACTCCAGTTGAAAGTATCTCTTTATAGAAGCTTAAATACATAATCAGTCAAAGCCCCACACTTGTATATCCTTAACCTTGATAATGAAACTAACAACATATTAATACTGTCACTAATTTACTGTCAACTGTCACTCAGTTTATAGCACTCTCATCTCTGAGTCAGAAGATTGTGGATTCATGTACCACTCTCGGACATGAGCACAAAAGTAAAAGCTGAAACTCCAGTCTAACACTGACAGGGTGTTACACAGCTGGAAGCACCATTTTTCATATGAGACTTCAAATTGAGGCTGGTCTGATACAACTGGATTGAAAAGGTCTGATGACACCATTTCCAAGGAGGACAGAGTTTTTTCTGGATGCTGGCCAACAACCATTCTTCAATCAACCTTCACAGAAACAGCTGTATAATGAATGTATAATGAGTTATTTATTATCAGATATATCTAGAAAGATACAGTGAAAAGTGTTGCTACAATCTGGCATCATTTTGAGTTACGAAGAAGAACAAAAGGAAATTACGTAAATCTTCGGACAAGGGGTCTTCAAACATAGTTCCAGGACTTCTACATTTCTCTGCAAGGTGTACCAGGCCTCAAGGAGACCCCAGGCCTACTGCAGCTAGGAGTCCCAGGTCTGGGTACCACCATCGAGCACCACCGCAGACAACATCTTGTGGGTCCACGAGTCCATGTTTCAGGCCTACCGCAGCCAGGAATCCTCACGCCAGGCACTGCCACTGCCACAGCCAAAGATTTGCCAAGTCCTTGAGTCCACTCTTCAGGTCCACCATAGCCAGAAGCAGTTGTTCCAGGCACCGCCATTGCCAGAGCTCATAACCCACCAAGTGCACGCTAAGGGCCTCCCACGGCCAGGAGTCTCCATTCCAGGCACCGCCACCGCTGAAGCCAACAAACCACCAAGCACCGCCCCAGCTTCCCCAAAATGTCAGAAATGAAGAAAGGAAAAAAGAGAAAGAGAAAAAATGACAAAGGAGACAAAGAGAAGGATGCGGCCGGCCTGGAGCGGTCAGGCTCAGAAGTCCGAACACTACCTAACATGCCAGTGCCACCATCTTGGAGATAGATGATCTGGTTATCATAGTGTTGCTGTTTGTGGTATCTTGCTGTGTACAAATTAGGAGTTGCATTTCCTAGATGACAATAGTGACTATGCTTCACGGGTATTTATTGGCTGTAAAGCACTTTGTGACATGTAATTATGAAAAGTGTTGTATGCAATGCAACGCCTGTTTTTTCCAACAAAATTCATACAAATACAAATAGCAGGAACTGACTTTCGTGTCTGCTGAAATCCAAACCACATTAATATGTTCAGATTACTAGAAACTTCTGTAATGTACATAGACATGACCATTATCAATTTTAATCAATTCAAATAGATCAGAAGCCAGCAGCTTTCTTTAATGTAAACAAAATGATTAAATCACAGATTTTCCCATTTGGTTGGAAGTAGGAGTAGAAAATATATTTTGAGGACAACTGTCTTTACTAAAAGGAGCTGGATAAAATGGCCAGAGCAGAATCCTGAACAGAAATCAATAGACTGAAATGTTGCCATCACTAAGTAAGATCTGGAGGGAAATGGCTACCTGTGCAAGGGATTTGGAAGGAAATTATATTGTTGCATCCTTTGCAGGGATTTCATTGTTTTATTGATGGACATATTGGAAGTTTTTGATTGTGAAGAGTATCAAATTAGAAGCTGTTAACTTTCTTCGGGGCCAGAAACCAGGTAACAGCCTTGGAAATGAAAAGTTCTCAGTTACTACCAAGAAACATACTTGACAGAAAGTATTTCCAGCAAATATGAAGGATGGCAGCATTGAAAACAGTGGCTAACAGACACTAGTGCAACTGAGCTGAAAATGATATACTGCATGGATTTTGAACTTTATTTAATTGAAGATATCCATCAATTAGCTTGTTGTGTAATGATTTTTTTTTATCTGAAAGTAATCATTTCAATTTTGAATAAAGATTTTTGAAAAACAGGCTGTTTGCCTGATTTGACTTTTTTTTCATCGTTGGTGACATTTAGTTTCTCAGTTTATATTCAGTGTATTTTAAGAGTAATTTGGAGACTTTTATTCAGCTGGTAAATTTAATGAAATGCTGCTTAAATACTGTTATGTTACGATGCTGTTTGGGACTCTTAACATGTAAAGAAGAAATCTGACCGTCCATCAATTAACCAACTGAACTATCATACAAGATCTCACATTTCAAACAAAAACAAACTTTATCGCACATCAAAAAGAATTGAGTATTATCAACTGTATTTGATAAAGAATTATGCTCTAAAATCAGTTCTACTTTTACTTCACGCATGAGAGTTCCCTTATGTTATAATATCTTGAAGATGCAATCATTTTCCCTCGGACCAATCTGAAAAGGTATGCCACTGCACTATGAAATTTATCTGAGTGTACCAGCTATTCTTTTGAGGTGAGATTCTATCATGGCATGTCCATTGGCTTGTTTGAATCGCATTGAATCAGGAAAGCAATGGCCTAGTTGTATTATCGCTCGACTATTTATCCAGAAACTCAGCTAATCTCCGGCGGACCTGGGTTTGAATCCTGCCACAGCAGATGGTGGAATTTAAACTCAGTAAAAAAAATCTGGAATTAAGAATCTACTGATGGCCATAAAATCATTATCAATTGTTGGAAAAATCCACCTGGTTCATTAATGTCCTTCAGGAAAGGAAATCTGCCACACTCACCTGGTCTAGACTACATGTGACTCCAAACCCACAGCAATGTGGTTGACTCTCAATTGCCCTCTGAAATGGCCCAGCAAGCCACTCAGTTGTACCAATCGCTACAAAGTCTCAAAGAAATGAAACTGGACGGATCACCTGGCATCGACCTAGGCACCGGAAATGACAATGGCAGAAACAGCCCTGTCGACCCTGCAAAGTCCTCCTCACTAACATCTGGGGGCTAGTGCCAAAATTGGGAGAGCTGTCTCACAGATGAGTGACAGCCTCACATAGTCATACTCACGGGATCATACCTTACAGACAATGTCCCAGACACTACCATCACCATCCCTGGATATGTTCTGTCCCACTGGCAGGACAAACCCAGCAGAGGTGGTGGTACAGTGGTACAGTCAGGAGGAGTTGCCCTGGGAGTCCTTAACATTGACTCTGCATCACTCAGCTCCTGACCTCATTACAGCCTTGGTTAAAACATGGATAAAAGAGCTGAATTCCAGAGGTGAGGTGAGAGTGCCAGCCCTTCACATCAAGGCTGCATTTGACTGAGTGTGGCATCAAGGAGCCCTAGCAAAACTGGAATCAATGGGTATCGAGAGCAAACCCTCTGGCGGTTAGAGTCATACTGACACATAGGAAGATGGTCATGGTTGTTGGAAGTCAGTCATCTCAGCTCCAGGACATCTCTGCAGGAGTTCCTCAGGGTAGTGTCCTAGTTCCAACCATCTTCAGGTGCTTCATCAACGACCTTCCCACCATCATAAGGTCAGAAGTGGGGATGTTCACCGATGATTACACAATGTTCAGCACCATTCACAACTCCTCAGATACTGAAGCAGTCCATGCTCAAATATAACAACATCCAGGTTTGGGCTGACAAGTAGCAAGTAACATTTGCGCCACACAAATGCCAGCCTATGACCATCACCAGTAAGAGACAATCTAATCATCACCCCTTCAATAGTGTTACCATCACTGAATCTGCCACTATCAACATCCTGGGGGTTATCATTGACGAGAAACTCAATAGGACTCGCCACATAAACACAGTGGCTATAAAAGCAGGCCAGAGGCGAGGAATACTGCGACGAGTAACTCACCTCCTGACTCCCCAAAGCCTGTCCACCATCTACAAGTGTTATAAAGTGGAGGTTGACCCCTCTCTCTGAACTAAAACCGAAATACCCAAAGAGGAGTGCCTCACCCTATAATTTGTTAAAAGGGAATGTCAAAAGTGGTATAACCCGCCTTTCAGCAATTTCTGGTGGTTAAATAAAATAAACCCCTGACACTCACTTTTACAACAAACAAGTAACAATTTATTTATCTAACTCGAAGAGTGAACAAATTAACTAAATTATTAACAAACCAGATAAACCCCTTATAACTACTAACTATTCCCAAAGAAAACAAGATTCTAATGGTATGCTGTTCCAATAAATACAAGTCCCCTTATATAAAATAAAATTTTAAAAAATAATTTAGTCTCTCGAAATTACAGGCAGACTTCATGTTTTCTGGAATGTTCGGCACCGTTTCTGTCGAATATTCTGTCAGGAACGCTTTCTCTATGAATTCTTCTGTCAGGAATCTTAGCTAGAAGTGCAGTGGTACCATTATGAATAGATGGTGCTTTCTCTAAGAGCTGAAAGCTGTTATCTCTAGCAGACAACAGTTTGCTCTCCTGTCTTTGTCCAACTGCTCTCTTCTTTTATACCCTTGATGACATATCAGTATTTCTTACAATAGGATTGGTCGTATGTTGTCAAAACCATCAGATTTAAATTCAATTGATTTTTGGTATCTGGGTGCCTGGTTCAAATTAATTGGCTAAATTCAAAAGTTGTTGTCTTGGTAACAAAACAAAACTGCTGCTTGGCCTGCAAACTGTATGGCCTTTTGATACCATTGTTTCAATTCAGGTGTTCTCTGTACCTGCTAACCCACAAGCTGCTGCCCACGGACATCCTTTTTGAATCTCTAAGCATAGAAAAAGCACATCATCTTTTAAAGGGACCATCCAATATTTTACAAACACCAATTTCTAACGTCCTGCCTTCCAATCCACAGATACTCCACCCAACTTCGCAACACAAAGCACAAGTCAACCATGTGATGGAATACTCCCCACTTGCTTGGATCAGTGCACCCCAACAACACTCAAGAAACTTCACACCATCCAGGACAAAGCAGCCTGCTTGACTGGCACTACATCCACAAGCATCCACTCCCTCCACCACCGACGCTCAATAGCAACAGTGTCTACTATTTACAAGACGCACTGCAGAAATTCACCAAAGATCCTCAGACAGCACCTTCCAAACCCACGACCACTTCTATCTAGAAGGACAAGGGCAACAGATACATGGGAACACCACCACCTTCAAGTTCGCCTCCAAGCTGCTCACTATCCTGACTTGGAAATAAATCGTCATTCTTTCACTCTCGCTGGGTCAAAATGCTGAAATTCCCTCCTTAAGGACATTGTGGGTCAACCTACAGCAGGTGGACTGCAGCAGTTCCAGAAGGCAGCCCACCATCACCTTCTCAAGGGCAACTAGGGATGGGCAATGAATGCTGGCCAGTCAGTGACACCCACACCCCACAAATGAATAATTTTAAAAAAAATAAACTTATAGGATTCTCATCAATTTCTCATTAAGATGCCCCTACCCCATTTATCTACAGTTAAAACTTTAATTCCTAAAACTAAACATTATATTCTGAAAGATCAATTATGAACTAGATATTTGCAACAGGTAGAACTGTTCTCTGTTATATCTGTCAGATGAATGGCTGTCATATTAAGATGTAAAGATATTCAGGTATTGTAACTAAGGGTTGATTGTTTATTTTACCTGTCTATGTAAGATTATAAAATAGGAATACACGCCTATGAAACATCACAAACTAGTCCTCAGTGACATGCAGCCTCTAATAATGTGCAATGCAATTTAATATTTCTGGGATTTAAAATAATATTTGTAATTGTTATTTAGTGATTACATGCATATATTTCCCAGCTTCATAAGCTTGGGTTTAAACAGTTAGGTTCTTATGATTTTGTAAAGTTACAGGCTTTTATCACGAGTACTCTTTTTTAGCTCTGAGAATGGTATCAACTCCTCCCTTCCCAAAGTTCTCCATGTATCTCTTTTTGAAAGGCTTTTCAGGAACATTAACCTCATTATTAAAAAAATGCTTCTGCTGTTTAATTACTAATCCCAACTTTCCAGGCCAATTTTGATTTGAAAGCGATGTTAAAATGCAGGAATTTTTGGAACTCCAGTAAAGTTGAGGTTGAGCTGCAATTCTTGTGGGGTTAACCACCAATCTGTACAACTCATCCAGTAACCTGTGTTGATTCACTATTCATGGGCTATTGTTTCCTTGTCACAGTTAGTTGAGCATTTTACGTATTAATGAGGATGTGGGCATTAAATTTGTCATTCTTGTCCTTTCCTGGTCCCTGTCACATCCCACACAAGCAGCTGCAATGACCTCACCTGACCACACTGAGAATTTGGCAAGCTTTAGTAGTGTACAAATTCATAGATTCTCCATTGTGATATTTTGTACACATTGCCAGATGTCAGCTATTGCAGACAGCCAGGGAGTTTTGGAACTGTCAGGTAATACAAATAACTCAAACACATTTTTAAAATACTTGATACCACTCCAAAAGAACAAAAACAGATAATTTTAGCAGGTCCTGGCCTTAGCAAATGTCATATATGCTTGTGCCAGTTTGACAAGCTGACATTGTGGTTGGTCTCCATGATCAGAAACTCTACACTCTGATATTTTTTAATGTAAAGATAAAAGTAATCAAAGTAAGTATGACACTCCTGAGTTATGTTTGAAATTGCCCTCAAAAATTGGTAAAATTGAGAGAACATTTCTGTTCCAAAAACCTAGTTCCTACATCATTTTCCTACTTTCTTAAGATTCCCTTGTCTCACATCCAGTCCTGAACAATGACCTTGTTAGTTGATCTCTCGAGTTTTGCTTTAAATCTTTGTCAAGGGTGTCTGGCAGAGTAATGTTCTGACCCATGATTTTCCTTCCTGTCTCAGAAAATACCTGTGCTTCTTACCTTCCCTTTGAATATCCATGTATGATTGAACAATTTCTCTGTTAGTAAAGACTGGAATGGTCTATGTTGTACTAAATTGTTGTTTTAAATTTGAAATTATATTACACAGGAATTACGACATTGTTAGCATTGATTCTGGCAGCAAGTATGAGTCAACAATTTGGTAAATGCCAAATAAAAGCCACGGCTGACATTTGGTTTGAATGATTAATAGTAGCTAAAATATAATGAAAAATTATATCACTGTCAATTGTGAACTTAAGGCTGCTCACATATTGTGGCTTTGAGGGCAGATCAAGGAGGCATCGCTAAGTCGTAGTGGTCTGTACACAATACCGCATATCCAAGTCTCTACACGGTCACACTTAAAAATCCAAAATAGGAACAGAGCAATGCTAACCATAGCTCAAATGTCACTGAAAATCTTAAATCTAATAAAGAACAGATTGTCCAGTCTCCAGTACATAGTATTTACAGCACAGAAACAAATC